TGTTGATTCTTCCAGATGTCTTGATACAGAAATGTATGTTTACTTTACATAATACTTATTAAACAAACAGAATAAACAGAACTGAGACATGTGAAGCAATTAAGAACACATTCAAACAGATTCATCAGGTAACACGAGGACATTCATAAGACTGCTTAGACTAGCATATGGATGCTACTCACAACATGGAGTGCAAAGATACAGTTAGCGTCCATAGAAACTTCCCTCAACAAAAATTAACACGTCTTGCAATAAACTGAAACCACAAATGTCCTGACAGGTAATAAACCTAATACTACTGAAGGTTATTTCGTAAATGCACAGAAGGAAATGTCCAGTGCATGGTAAGCTAAACTGGCTCCTGTGCTGCTTTAGCTTGAAGGGCAACCAATCATGTGACTGTAATTAACTTATTCACCAAAAGGTGTCACTGTTATGCCAACAATTTTAGGTCCTATCAAATTTAATTTCTGGGGTAATTCACCTAATAATATGTTTATGATGCCGTTTTCTCTTATTAAAAGGTTTTTTTGTTTCTTTATGATGTTAGAAAGAGGGGAGATCCTTTAATATGGTAATCTCAGGCATAGAAGTCTCTCCCAAATGCTGTTCAAACCTGCTGTTAGTGAGGGGCAGCCAGTCAGAAGAAAGAAGTGCTAAAGGAGAGGAACTAAAACCATTTGTTTCAGACAGAGGATGAACTAAGGTGCTATACCAAGGCCCAGCATGAAAAACTGAATGATTGTTTTAATCTGTGTGTTTGTGTTCAGACTTTAAACCAGATCCTGACAGCATCTGCTCTTCAGTCCACCAGTCCAACCAGTGACATCCAGCTGCTGTTCTCCAATTGATGCCCCCAACACTTCAGACCAGAGTACAACATTCACATGACCAGATTTTAATATTTCTTTCTTACTAAATAAGAAAAAAATATTTCTCCTTCTTTATCTTAAAATTTAAAAGTGTATTCCCTTGTAAAATCAGCCATGGTAGAATAAATATGTATGTTTTTAATGTCTGCAGTGACATTGAAATTGTTTTACTGTTTGACCCTGCTGTTGTTACTGTAGCAGGGATTTAATTTCTAAATAAACTTTTGTCGTCATGTGTGTTTGTCATGTGGTTCTGTGGTTTTCCCCAAGCT